AGCGGACGATCTCTTTATGACACCCTCGATGCTGTTTCTTGCAATTGCGGGACTATACTGTCGCCGCAACATCAAGAACTCGACTTCGATGATCATAATTTAGACATGCTTGGACTACTTTACACGTTTCGCTGTAGACTATGCAGGAAGAATTATAGCATTATGATTTACTATGACATTTAGATATCAATTAGTGGTAAGTTGCTTCTTTATTTATAGTTTAATTTTAGTGCTTCAACGACATAATAACAACGGTGGTAGTTTCCTTCAGATAAAAAACCACTCAAAAACAACGAAATAACAACAAAATAACAAGGAAATAGACATAAAATACTATTCTGAAGCAAAATCATGCACTCTTCTTACGTGGATTTTTTATTAGTGCTTGCCGCCACCGTGACCGCCGCCGTGGCCGCCACCGGAATGATCATTTCCTCCGAGATTGTGAACTTCTGCGGTGAATCCACTATGGGGGTCGGAATGATACTTTACGCTCCTGATGTTACCGCCTGGTTCTTTGACGTGGTACTCTCCTGAGACTTTCTTCCCTGCAATTACCAAAAATGATTCACTTTAATTACACGGTAATGTATTCAAAGTGATAATCATCGTGAACGTCATTTTGCTTTATATAAGTTTGATTAGAGCTCCTGATTATATAACTTAACATCCACAGTTTATAGAATTGATATTGTATTTAAGAATATTATTCAAATTCGCTTTCCAATGAACAAACTGAAGATACGCTAAAAACAGAAACACGAAAAACGCACAAGTGTAAAACGTCTTCACGTATCTATGAGTGCCTCCGTTAAAAATCACGAAGTTAACATGTCGGAAGCACAGCGACAGACGAATTTGTTAGTTCTAATTAAGAGCAAGGCCGGCTGTCCAATTAGTTCGAGATTCTAATTAAGAGCAGAAGATCGAGTCTTGGTATTCTAACTCCATACGTACCGTCACGAAACTCCTTCTGCGTGTGATAATCTTTGGTGTGCTTATCATCCACTCCGTAGGCATATTGGTACAGAGGATGAGCTGCGTAGTCGTAGTGAACGTGGCCGTGTTTGTCTTTCCAGGATACTTCTTGGTGTGGGCCCACAACTGGTCCAGAGAAGTGATGGAACGATTTCGCTTGACCACCACCGCCAGATCCACCATGGCCACCACCACCGTAGCCTCCGTGACCACCACCACTGGAT